CAGGGAGGACCTGCACCCATCCAGAAGGTTAGGACCCTCAAACATGATCTCACAGATTAGCTTTCAAGTCTCCTTTTACAGTTTCTTCGTGAAAATACAAATATTCTTATTTCTTTCCTCTTTCTTATGCAAAAGGATACCTACTGCCTTGGACCTTATTCTCTTAACATCATATCATATAGAACTTTTTTTTGTTGTTGAGTTTATAGAGCACTGCTTTTTTCTCTTTAGAACTACACAGAATTCTGTTGTTTGAATACACTATAATTTATATGACCCAGTCCCCTATTGACAACAGATCTGCACTACACATAATGTGAATAAATGACAGTAAATATACATTGTCAGTTTTGAGGAGTGGGATAATTGGGTTTCAGGATAAACACATTTGTAATTTTGACAGATATTTTCAAAGTACCTTATTACGGAGGTTGTGCCTATATGCACTGTCATTATCACTGTTGCATCCTGACTTCACAGACAATTACTATCAAAGCTAATATTTGCTAATCTCGTAAGTGAAATATAGGATCTTGTTGAAGGGTTAATTTGAATTTTTCTGAGAGAGATTGAACATTTTAAGAACAATTTATATTTCCTTTTTTATGAAGTCTTTGCCCATTTTTCTGTTGGCTTATTGTATTCTAGGAGTTCTTTGTAATCTCTATGTAAAATCTCTGTAATTAATGAGTTCCAAACATTTTCCCTAGTTTGCCATTTGTCTTTTAACTTTTTCTGTGTGTGTGTGTGTGCTCTATCATATGGAAGTACTTTTTTTTATTATATAGTTGATTTTTTTTAATGTTCTATATTCTAAATCATAGCTAAAAATGACTTCCCCATGCAAAGGAATGTGTTCCTTTGTTTTCTTTTTATACTACTGTGATTTCATTACTTTTATCTTGTAAATCCATGTGTAGTTTATCCTGGCATGAGTTCCTCTTTACTTTTTTCCATTTTTTTCCCCCAATGTCTCATTACCATTTTTTGAAGAATCCACATTTGCCCCCCACTGATTTGAGGAGCCACCTTTATCACAGACCAAATTCATAGGCTTTTTATTTTACTTTCCTTCTGCTCTGTTGGTCTGTCAGTCTGCTTACGTACCACCATCATGGTATCACAACCGTTGGCACTTTATAGTTTGCAGCAATAAAAGTAGGACCAGAAAGCTCTCACTGCCCTTCTTTTGTCAAGCTTTTAATAACTACTATTGATTAACTTTTGCACATGAACTTGAGAATCTGTTTCACCTTGCTCCAGGATGATAATAACAGTGGTAACAGCAATAATATTTGTATTTTTATACTAAAGAAAAGTCTTGAAATCTTAGTCTTAGGCTATTTGTAGTCAGGTGCTTCCTCAGACAGACTGGTGATTTCCCAGGCGTGCGTCGTACCTGTGCATTTGTGTATCTGCGGTTAGCTCTGTAAGCCTCAGGAGGAGGAAAGAGCTTATCATTCCATTCCAGTTCTTACTACCAAGTAGGAATTTGGTAAATGAAAAAAAGGAAACAAAAATCGGTAACTTTTGAATTATTTGGATAAATTATGTTTAGCATTTATGTTGCTGATTGTAATGTAACACAATAAATAACCACTTTTGGTCACTATATAGGAGAAATCAATGATAATGATATACTATTTATATTTAGCTTTTCACATTACTCTTCCAATTTTCATTGCACTTCAAAGACTCATTTAAATGGAGTTTCACATTTTTTGAACATTCTACACTGTTGAGAGGCAAAGCTGAAGCCATAGTTATTTAGGTTTAAAAGTGGAAGAATGTGATGGATTACCTCCAGGTAACAGAGATTCATTTTAAGGGTCTTTATGCCTGCTTTCAATAGTAAATCCTGTTCCCAGCGTGAATACTACTTCACTGGAGAATCAGTCATTGGTTACTTTTAAGTGCCTAAACTTTTTTAGCTGGTATTAAAATTTTCTTGAGGTGTAACTCTTTTATGATATAAATCATAGTGTTGATATATTCAAAGAATGCCCATAAATTGCTGGAATTTACCATCAATTTTACCCAGATTTAAGACAGGAGCCTCTCCTTTTGTGCCAGAAAGCTAAATGGGACTCTTAAATTTGAGGATATTGAAGAGGCTTAAATTCTGGTAGTTGCCCTGTGCAAGCTAGCTAATCTTTTCTGGTATGCTTCTCTTCACTTGTATGTTTGACTGTATAAAACACATCACAGACATCAAGGGTCTGTTTAAGCATTTAGATTTCTAACTAGAAATTTTAGAATCTGTCAGGATAATCTAGATAAAGAATTTTAGAGGTCTTCTCACTCTAAAAGCAAGGGAACTCAGAGATACCTGAGACTGCTTGTTCGTGGGGGGTGGTGGCAGAGTGAGTGGCAATGGCCCTGAACCAGTGCATTTCTCTGCATTTACTAGGGTGCCATACTCTGTTTTCTTTGTAATTGGAATTTATTTATATATGAATAAATTATTTTGGCTTCTCTTTATATTGACATGGATGCCAAATAAGATTACACCTTTGTACTATACTTTCATATACTTTGTGCTGCAAAATTGATCATTCTATTTGTGTCAAGTATGTTTTAATGACTGAATTGGGAGTATGTCAATCAGCCAAACTGAAACTTTCTGTTGGGTCTTTGGCATTTTGTATTTCTAAGAATATGTAATTTTAGAAAGTAAGCTGCTCTCCACTGAAGTACAAGCTCCACGGGGCAATGATGTTAGTCTTTTTTTTATTTGCTGGGATATCCTAAATGCATAAAAATAATGCCTGACATGTTAGGTGCTCAAAATATTTGTTGAATGAATGATGGTTAGAGTCAGACTTCCTGTGCAAATCCTAGCTCCTCCCATTTACGGACTTCATGACCATTGACAAGTTATTACCATCCTTCTGTGCCTGTGGCTTTATCTTTAAAATGGCGATAATAATATTACCAATCTTACAATATTCTTATGAGATGTGAAGTTTTTGACCCAATATTAATGGTTGCCCTTGCTGTTCCTGAATATTCACCGAGTTATCTGATATACTGTTGGTAGTTTTTTTGTTTTGTTTTGTTTTTTTAATTCTGTAATTGGACTGTGGCAGTAATTCCTAGCATTAGATATTTGGTCTTAAAAATAAAGGACAGGCCGGGAGTGATGGTTCATGCCTGTAAGCCCAACAGGCAGCTCCAACCTACACATCCCCGTTAACGCAAGACATTCTCTTCTTTGACAATGAAAGTTCCCATTTCCAGCCTTCACAGAATAGAGTAGCTTTCTGATCTCTTTTCTTGGATTCTGGACTTCCAGTATAGCTAGAATAAGATGGGGTGAGGAGCAGAGGGTGCGAGCTATACAGCACATCGTACAACTGTACAGCACAGCTCATAACAACTGAGTCCTCAAGTCTATGTGTGTTGTGTACCCACATTTCATACCTACCGTGTTTCCCCGAAAATAAGACCTGCCCATAAAATAAGCCCTAGCAGGATTTCTAAGCATTTGTGCAGTGGAAGCCCTACACTGAAAATAAGCCCTAGTGACGGGCGTGGCTGCGCAGCGCATCTGCACAACCCATGCGTGTCGTCACAGAGCAGTCAAGAACACGAGCAGCCCTTCTCATCTGCCCCATCGTGACAGCTACTAGCCCAGAGGTGACAGGAAAGGTGCAGGCAGCCCCACCAAGGCCAGCTCCCCGTTAGGTCCCAGCCATCCCACGTGTGCTGCAAGCTGAGGCTTTGAGGGAAAAGTAACACATCCCCTGAAAATAAGCCCTAGGATGTCGTCTTGAGGAAAAATAAATATAAGACCCTGTCTTATTATCAGGGAAACACGGTAGTCATAGATGTCACAGGTGCAAGAGTAGAATCTTCCTGTTATTTTGTTAACTGGTGCCTTGCTTTTCTTGTTCTGGTCTGTTAAAAGACCTTTTTGATCTACCTTATTCCTTTTCCCTCCCAGTTTCATGTGTCCTGTCACTTGTCAATTAACAAATTTGTTTACAATGAAATTACAAACACTTGTACATATGTAGGTTTTGTTTTTTGAGAAAAATATTCTTTATATTCTGTAGGTTTAGTATGCCTCATTCTTTGATCACTTGCAGAATATTCCTGAGTATAAACATATCCTAATGTTTTTAACCATCATCTTGTTGATATTTAGGTGGTTTTCAGTCTTGCTGTCAACAGCACTGCGCAGTATCCTTTCAGTCATGTTTTTGTGTCCTATTGAAAAATTATTTGGTTATTTTTGCACATCTAATCTTCAAAATGAACTTGAAATTATGCTTATAAATTCTAATCTCATTGGTATTGCATTGAACATATATTTTGAGGACTGACCTCTTAACAGTATTGAGTCTTCCCATCAAATACTGAAATTCTGCAGGAATTTAAGTGTAATTCCCATTTTTATGTGGATTTAGGCATGATTCTGTAATTTGATCCCAAATTACAACAGTTGGAGATAGGTAATGGGTTCCCCTCTCCCTGAATTTTATGAAATGGGGGATTTGATCATGAAGTCTGAAGTATATGATCATTTTATTCTTCTTGGAATTTTATCACTTCCTATTTTTGCCCTTGTAGTGATTTAGTTAAGATACCTTTGAAGTTTTTACAGAAAGACAATTCGGATTGTTCTTTGAGGTTTTCACCATAGATACTGGCCAGGTAATTACTGGTATAAAGGCAACTAATGTGGTTGTAATAGAAGTATGTTATTTAGCTACTCTTCAGGTTCATCTCATTTTTACTAAGTTGTCTTCAGCATTGAAATGTTAATATTTGAACTTTTCAGTAGGAATCAAGATTCTCATTACAGTGTATAATATATTAAGGCTATGAAAGCATGATTTCAAACTTAATAGTCATCTATTATGGGATTATCAATGTTTTTTAACGTTTTAAATTAGAAAAGGTTTTCCTAGGCCTAAATCATTTTTCAAATGTTGCTCTTTCCATCATTAGAGTCTGTGGTCTGTGTTTTTACGTGACTTTTTTTTTGTTTTCAGAGAAAGTTCCATTGTGCAAATCTGACTTCATGGCCTCGCTGGCTATATTCCTTATATGATGCTGTAAGTAACTTACCTTAAACATTTTGTATCTGTAGTAAGCCACATCATAATTAAGGGTCAGAACTGGTACCATTTGTTACATTTAGAGTGAAATGGGTGGGAGTTAAGAGAGATTGCTGGATAGACTCTGCCTCTTATTTCTGTAAGTTTTAGTGTTTCCAGTTTCTGGTGGCTTTATAAGTTAAGGATAAGATACTGTGAGACATGTTATGGTTTATTAAGCATTTGAAAATTTTGGGGGCAAAGTGGCAGTTAAATTTAGAAAATTAAAGAATCCTTAAATATGTTTTGGTTTTTCTCAAAAAAAAGTATTACATCTCTGTGGACCTATAAAAACGGGATAATAGTAGCTATAGGCATTTAGCAAAGGTTAGTCATTTCCTTTAGTGAATCACTTTGCCCATAAACCTGGAGTCCTGGGAAAACTAAACAAGTTTTGAGCACTTATGACATGCATGACACTGAGGGGACTGCAGTTGGTCTGTTCTTTTGGCTCGAGCTATTACAAAGATATGCTGTACACGAGTATTTTTTGCATATGGGCGTGAAAAGATTGAAAACAGTTTCATGTTGTAAACAGGGCCAAGGTACACAGATAGCAAATGCTAGTGCAATTTATAGGTGCTGTAGTCTCTGAACTGGGTCAGAAAAGGCTTCATGCCGAGCAGAAGAGAGGCCAGAGATAGTTTGGCAGGAGCGTAGAGAGGCATCTGCAAGGCACTTAGGAGCAGTGTGCCCCTAGGGTAGACAGACTGTTGGTGAGAGAGGCCTGGGAAGCCACGATGTTGCTGGGGAAAGGAGTGGGACTTGGTCATTTCTGCATGAGAAAAAGGAGACATTGAAACCGGGACTCGATGGGACCAAGATTTTACTATATAGGGATAACTTAAATTGCTACCAATATATTAGTTTTATTTAAAAAAAAAAAAAGTTGAAAAGCTGACAGTAAATTTTAATAAGGTTGTGAAGTTTATTGTGCCTCCTTTTATTTTAAAAAGGAAACCTTAATGGATAGAATCAAGAAACAGCTCCGTGAATGGGATGAAAATCTAAAAGATGATTCTCTTCCTTCAAATCCAATAGGTATGAAAAATTACTTTCTTTCCTGTGGCAGAAACAGCAGTTTTTATTTTTTTTTTTACTGATTAATATTTTAATTAAATCTGAAAAGCATACAAATTTCCTTTGCTTTGAGCAGTTGAAAAAATGAGTGGTTTTTAATTTTACCAAAATTCTTAGAGTCTGTGAACACTCCGATTTTAGGCAAGTTTACCATGAAAAGTTCAAATTGCAGTAAGTGGCTCTCATCTAAAAACACTTCCTAAGTGTAAAGACTCTTTGCTCTTTAAAGGTGACCCTCATTCCAGGACTTTACCCTTATTTATATATAATCTGTTTGTTTATACCATATAGTTTAATTATTCTAGTCTTTTGGCAAATAAGTGACTTATGGATTCAAGTTCATATTTCACATTAAAAACATTTACGAAAAAAACTCATGGGAAAAGAAGTTACATTTAGGACTTGGTAAGAAGATATACTTGATAGCTGGTATATTTTAGTATGTTTACAATTGTATAAAATATGTTTGGAGAACCCTGTAGAGAAGGGTTTATTTCACTATCTGATTCTTAAGTTATTTGATGCTTATCTAACTCATGAGTCTCAAACTTCAAAACCCCACCATGTCTTTAAGATTTTTCTTACAGAGTAGCTGCTTGTCTTCCTATTGATGATGTATTAAGAATTCAGCTCCTTAAAATTGGTAGTGCTATCCAACGACTTCGCTGTGAATTAGACATTATGAATAAAGTGAGTAAAGTTGACTATGTTTGTGATGCTTGTGTCTAGGCAGGCGAGAGAACTAGGATGCGCTGTCGGGACTGAAAGCTGTCTGTGGAGTCCAGTAATGTAGTTGAGCGATTAGGAAAAATTGTTTAACCTGCCATGCTTTGCACTTAAAATATGTTCAAGTGTAATGTAAATATTTCAATTGGATTCATGCAGAAAGAAACTCAGATTGGTTTGTATTTTTCAAATATGAATACCTTTGTCTAACTTTGTGAAAAATATGTGATTTCTACATGGAACATATGTGGTTATATATCCCTATTTATCCTAGAAGATCATTTAGTTTTATAAGTGAATTATGTGGCAGATCTTATATTCAATGTGTTTCTTGTTCCATCTTTAAAACTAAGTTTGTAAATGGCTGAAAGGAAAATATATTTAGAAGTTTCTTGATGAGCTATATATAATTGCATAATAAAACAAGTGCCTACTTTTCCCACTGATAATTTTCTCTTAAATTTTATAGTGTACTTCCCTTTGCTGTAAACAGTGTCAAGAAACAGAAATAACAACCAAAAATGAAATATTCAGGTAAGATCTTTATTATATTTCTAGTATACCCCTGAATACATTTCCGACCACCTTACCAGAATTACTAATACAATCAAGACTGTATTTCCATTTTCCATATATTTCCCTCCAATACCTAAAAATTATAAATACTCAGCAAATGAAACATGGGGAGTTAACTCAGATTTGGTTAAGACCATCTTTCACATTAGGTAATCATGGCAGTGTGGATATGTCAGGGATTATTTATAGGTAATGTGCATGGTAAAATAAAACTGAGCAATCCTTGTTGAAAATCTATATATTAGAGTATCTTGGAAATTTATAGACATGTACTATGATTATCATAGTGATTAATGACCTAACACGGATGCCTCAGGCATTATAGTTCAATCATTGGTTTTGCCTCGTAAGACTAAAGTAGAATATGCTTCTGAACACCTACTGATGTTGTGATATAACAGTGTTTGAAAACGATTTTACGATGAATTCATCAAAATTACAAATCAAAAAAGTGCTATTTAGAAAATAATCAACAGCACAAGGATGACCACATAACACCTTTTTATTGTACTAACATTCCCAGAGAGACTGATAGATGAATTTGATTGAGCTATGTATGCTTTACAATGTCTATCATGAGAAGGGTTTTAAAAACTAGTACTATTTCCCTTTCAGTCATCACAGAAAACATACTGACTGAAATGGGACTGTCTGCCAATCCCTTAACATGATGCTAAGATTCTGGTATTGCCCAAACCTAAAAGATTAAAACCTGCAGCTCATTTCTTAGAGAACTTTAAAAAAATCTGTCCATTTAGAGTTAGACCTTTTTCTTCATTTTGACTTATCCTCCCTGTTGATTCTTTGTTGTAGTTTATCCTTATGTGGGCCAATGGCAGCGTATGTCAATCCTCACGGATATGTGCATGAGACGCTCACCGTGTATAAGGCTTGCAACCTGAATCTGATAGGCCGGCCTTCGACAGAGCACAGCTGGTTTCCTGGGTAATATGTTGGTGGTGGTTGCTTTTTTTTTTTTTAACCTTAATTGGGCAGAAAAACCCAGAGTCCTAATCAGAGTTGCTAGAATTAAAAGAAAAAAATACACGATGAAGTACTTTATGGAATACTTTTCATTCCATAAATAACTGGAAACATCTATTACGCTTTTATTGAAGGTGAAAGCAGGTTGGTAACTGCAGTTGTCCCAAAATTACTGTCACCTCATTCAGCTGTCTTGTGGCCCAGTAAAATCATTTCTACGTGGACCCCTAATGCTGTAAAACCAGAGAATGTTTCCCAAGCAGTGATAGACTAAGTAGATGCAGAAACCACTGAATCATGCTTTTCTTCCAGTTTTTGCATTTTTTTTTTTAGCCCACTGATTCTCAAAGTATGATCCTGGGAACTTACTAGATTCCCTTAGCTGTATTTTGCTTGATTTATGTTCCAAATTCTGGGTCAGCGTCGGCCTTTTATTTTGAAAGAGGTGGGGTGGATTAACTAGGACTGTCCTATTTTGTCACCCTTTGTAAGGAATAAAAGTAGAATTAATTTGTTAATGAGGACATGGTTAGTATTCCTGGTTAAACTGACAAAATCATTCATGTTTTTTAATCTTATGCTCATATCCCACCCAGTTGAACTCAGACAGTAGTTGTTTTCTAACTTGACTGCAGTAGAAAACAAAGGAAAAGCCAGTGCAAGTTAGAATGTATAAAGAAATCTATAATAATAAGATCCGTCTTTTTCTCTCTTTAGAGGAAAAATTTAAACAGCTTATGTAAAAAATCTCAGGTCAGAATATTCTGTTTGTCTTAACAGCTTTCTATGATAGCTAAGAAAACTCTCTCTTTATTTTGTAGGTATGCCTGGACTATAGCCCAATGTAGGATCTGTGCAAGCCACATTGGGTGGAAATTTACAGCCACCAAAAAAGACATGTCGCCTCAAAAATTTTGGGGTTTAACTCGATCTGCTCTGTTGCCCACAATCCCAGACACTGAAGATGAAATAAGTCCAGACAAAGTGATACTTTGCTTGTAAACAAATATGGTAGGGATCGAGTTATCTAACAATTTGGTATTCTAAAATCATAGCCTCTGATATTTACCTAAGTAAATACAACATGGAGGGTTGAAGTTTCTTAGTCAAACTGTATATGAAGATTTAAGTTAAAGTATACTTTGGAGAGGATGAAAAGCAGTATCGAGTACAAGTTTGGTTTCAGGAATATGTACTTTAGTAGCATGGTGCCACTATCCTGTGGAATCTGTTATGTCTGGTACCATGTCATTTGAGATTGCACAAAGCATTTTAAATTCCTACAATGTGAAAACGTTTGATCATGATGTATGGGACATCATACCTGCTCCAGATGATAAAGGCTAGGGTGCCAAGCACATGTTCCTTTTTGTAAGAGGCCAGGCATTGTGTGTTAAAGGCCGTTTGTTCATTTCAATTTTCTTTAGCTTCTCTGAGATACTGATTTGTAAATCTCGAAAACATTAAAACATGCAGTTTGAGTCCAGAAATGAAGTTTTCATTTGTGTTTGTACTAACCCTCATTATTCTGTTCCATACAAAGCTTAAAACTACTGGGGGGGCAGAGATGGCCAAACATGTCTTCTGTCTCCACATATAGGACAGAAGTGGAACTGTAATTTTGTTCAATGTAAATTGAAGATCTCTCAACTTTATTTAAATAATGTAAATATCTACTCATAAGCAAATAACTTAGGTGTAAGAAATAAGTTTTAAGATAGATAAACTACTTTGCTACCTACCTCCTTACTTACATATTCAAGGGTTCAGCAGATCCTTTACCCGTTTATGTAATTTATAGCAGGGAGAATTAACCGACTATAAACAGACCATTTAATTTCTGCATGTTTTTACCAACTTTGAAATCAGAGTAAATGAAAAGCAACACAAGAATGCTGCTGTTTAGGATATTTGTTTTATGTGCTCACTAGATGTTCATAAGTAAGTACACTGCCCTACAACTATTTCTAATGGATTCGAGCAAGTTCTTTTCAGTAGCACAGTAATACTCTGGAATTGAAACCCTCAGTGAGGGAACACTGCTTTCTGCCTTTGCTCCATGAAGGGTATAATCTCAGAATGTTCAAACACTTGCATACAAAACCAGCCCTCTGAAATCTGTATACTTTTTATATAAAAAGAATACGAATTATATGATACTGAATCCAAATATGTACTACAGTAGTATTTAATTACTGACCTGGGTGTAGTTGTTTCTGAGGCTCCAATTCTTGTACCATAGTCCCTGTTATACTGTTTGTCACACTTCCTTTTAGTTGGGTTTTAACAGAAATAATATGCTTTCCAAAATCGTTTTATCAAGGTCCAAAATTACTACGTGCCCATAGAGTACAAAGATGGTACGACTGGCTACACAGAAAGGAAAATCTATTATAAAATATCAATATAGGAGCTGAAATAGATAATAGTTTATGCAACGAAAGCACTAGGGCTCAAATCTTTGAAGAGACACTAGTCATAGGGCCATCCAGAAGATTTCCAGACAGCCCTCCTATATCTCAAGTGCAATATACCAAGGAATACCTGTATACTTCTAAGAGTAACCCTCAATCCCATAACTTTCCCAGACTTTGTAATACAGACTGAAACATAGCTTACTAGAACAAATCTTGTTATGAACGAATGTCAGCCACCCATGGCACATTTGGTATTTTATGCAAATTTGTCAACTATTTTAGAATTCAGATAAGTGACACTTGAAGACAGTCATTTCACTTGCAAGTAAGTGTCTAAGACAATTACCTTTTTAAGATCAATCTTAGTACTGCCTTATGCAAAACATAGATAGAAGCCACTTAGCTATACCTTTCTCAGTGGAACTATTCCAAATGCATGATAAGGTTCAATCAGATCAAGAGGAGGTAGACTTCAGTTTAGTGCCCGAATTATAGTTCACAAAGACCTTTATTCTACTGAAAAGGTCCTCTATGCTGGTTTTTATTCCACTATAGTTTCCTAAATCTCACTATGAAGGAGGGTAAGAAAAACAGTATTACCAAAATGTTCCAGTTTTTAGTAGCCATCAATTTTAGTTCTTCTTTATGTAACTTAGAAGTTCATCTTTTTCCATTTGGTAACCACTTTTTTTCCACTGCTCTCGCAATTGTTGTAATAGAGCCCCAATTTCTTTTCCTGAAGAGATGCCCGCTTTCCTGATGTCGTGGCCACTGACAGGAAAGGGAGGAACGGACCACTGCTCCATTTCCTTCAGGAGGCTGCGCTCTCCTTGGTACTTCAGTAGCTCACACACGCGAGCAGACGCGTCAGGTTCCCTAGACTGGGTGCCAAAATCAAATATTTAGTTTCATCGCACAGAACAATCACTTGTGATCTTATACTAAATGCTCAATATGAAATTTTTCATTTAAAATCAGTAAAATCCACAGAATTGTAGATCTAAGTTTTAATAAATTAGTTCTATAACTAGTGAAGATAATTTATATTCTGCCCAAGCCTAGTATATACTTACATCTATAATGAAGTCTTGATACGGTTTCAGTGGTTCTGAACTATCTGTTGCTTTAATCAAATCTTTCCTATTTTTAACTATAAATAAGCCAAGGTTTTTCTCTTCTTTTGAAATCTTCAGCCTCAAATCCAATTTTGTGACATCATCCTGTACTTTGAATAATGAGGCCAAAAGAGTCATTGGCTTTGGTGAAAAACCTTCAACATTTTTACAGACTCTGTTAAATTCTTCTAAACTTGCATTAGCAGGTAAACCTGTAGGGACAAAATCATTTTTCACCTGTTTTTAGTGAGGGGGAAAAAAACTCATATCCTACACCAACCATTGTTTCAGTATGCTGAAATGCCCTGTCACCAGGACACGTTATAAGGACAGATGGAGACCTGATGCTCCATCTTCAGGTGAAGCACTGACACATCACTCTCAAAACCGAGAAGCCCCTAAAATGTTGCTTCCATTAACAAGCTACATGGGGAGGTCCAGAAGCGATGGTGGTGGCAGTGTCAGGTTCACATGGGCCACTTTTTCCAATCATAAACTACTTCCCACTGACAGACTACCATGTGACACCGACCGTCAATAATTTTCTATCTTTAGTTGAAATAAACCCAAGTTTTCTGAAGTGTGATAAACCATATAATGCTCTTCACGTTCTTTGTGAACATGAGTAACATTTAACAATTTCCATATTTAAGCCACTCTTCTACAGGTGTTTTTCCTGTATTAACTCACTGAATCCTCTTACCCTTCTATTAGATAGATACTATGTCACAAAGCTGGTATGTGCCTGAGCCTCATTCAAACCCAGATCTGACTCCAGAAACTATTCTGTGCAGTATGCCATCTTTGAGCTATTCCCTACTCATGACAAAACTGATCTTCCCCATACCCCAAGGCTTATCTTATTTTAAAATACTCCATTCAGAATTCTTATTTAAATGAATCAAACATTTTTTATGAAATTTTAACCACTTCGGTACCAGCATCAACTATAGTCAACAGCCACAGATGAACGCCCACAGCGACTTCAGCCGTGATAAGGCTCATAGCCGAGCGTCGACTTTATAATTTTGAATTGACTTTTCTAATTTTTCATTTATCAAAATAAAATTGTGAACATTTAAAAATAACGTAATGAAAACATGTATGTCTATGTTACCTATTCTGATTTACATGACAAGTAAAGCTGCCTGTAAAGTAAAACAAGCTCTCAGTGCTTTCAAGCTTTCCTCATCACACAAGAGCAAAACAGACCCGTTGTCAATGCACAGCACAGACTATCGTGCGGACTATGAGTGCCGGCTATGGGCAAGGTTCCACGGCCAGTGAGCGTGGTACCAAAGTGGTTAAACTACACTAGATGTTTCGTTATCAAAAATTCAAACACTTTATAACTTGTTCTTACCTATATATGGAGCTACATCAAGATCATACATAAGGTGAATCAAATGATTTACATGGTTACCAATGAGAATTTTTTTCAGTTCTACCCAAATCCTCTCTCCTGATATTCCAGCCAGGCCTTTTGCATTTTCTGCAATTGCTTCCAAGGTTTCAGGATCATGATCACCAGGTTTGTCTACAATTTTCCCATAAAACCTGTAACACAAAAATCTTCACGGCATATTATCGGTATATTGGCATATCACAAGAAATAACTTTTTTTTTTACTCTTACTATCCCATACGTCTACTTAACAACATGAACTAGTTAGGTTTAGCAGGGACATTAGAAGGCACTTGGCCAATTTTCTACCTCCTTTTGTTTCCAGATGAGAAAACCAAAGATTTAATAAAATATAAGTCAAGTCACCTTAAAGTTAGCAAGACACAGAACCCCAAGGTCTCAATTTCACTTCAAAATGACTGGCTGAGATGCTCACAATGGCCATCAAATGCAGTTCCTGAATTGGTACTTACAGTGGATGGAAAAAGGAGCATCCTTATAAAGGCACCAAAACAAGATTGGAACGCCATCGTGGAGCTGTCTTAAACCCTCAAAGTTTGCTGTTTGTACACATTAAGAATTTCAAAGACTTTCAAATATGACATACCTAGTTGCAGAAACTGGAGTTTATTTCATGGAATCTCAGAACTGGAAGCCCTAGAGTATATCCATTCTACCACTCATACCCTTAAAATTTAATTCATTAGTAATCTAAATTAAATGCTAATTACAGGTAAGTTCTGATCTATGTACTGTTATTTATATAGGGACTATCTGCATATACTTAAGTTTAGAGAAATAGCATTTATTAACAAAATGTGCAAGATGTTGCAGAATATTCTGAGGATGATCTTAACCAGCATAAAATGACTACTACTGGGCTTAATCTAACCAGTTACAATAGTTTTTTCAAAAGGTTACAGTAAGGAGTGTAAAAATCACTAATGTCCACAAAACCATGCATGCATTTCAGACTTACTAAGTTGTTAAGCATGTCTTTTATACTTTAATTGTTTCACTGGTCATATAACAGGTATTTATTTTCACCAATATCGTTTTGTTGTATCAGAGATTTCCATGACCACCTGACCCTTTAAGCCATATAAAGGCAGACACTTTCATTCATTACATATTCAAAGCACCTACACAGTACGTGGCCTGTGCTAAGCACTCAGACAACTGTGTAATAAATTAATCAATGTAGAAAATATCAAAGAAAACTAGGCATTTTAAAAAATTATTCAAAGCAGAAAAGATCATATAAAATAGAGTAAGTATGTGTATGTTCTGGGGATGAAAATACAATATGAAGTATATCTAAGTAATAAGTCATAGGTTAGTAAGGCTTTACTGGACACAGACATTTGGCATGTCACCATTTTGCACACAGACCTGCTATTTCACCTGACCAGTATTGTATTCTGGTGATATTAAAAACTATGTTTTTGTTTGTTGTTGTTGTTTTAAAAATATTTTAAAATGCTTACCTGAAGTATCTTAAAATTCTTAGATAATCTTCTTGTATTCTCTGTTTAGCATGTCCAACAAATGTAACTTTCTTATTTTTTAAATCTTCATAACCATTAAAATAGTCAAATAAGGTACCATCAAAACCTATTCATTAGAAAAAGGAGAAAAATCACTATTGGCAAGTAAGAATTTGAAAACACAAAATCAGCTAAAAACTATCACAAACAGTAAAAATTCAGCAAGGTATGATGAGTTATAAAATTAAAATACAGATATTAATACTATTCATACATATCAACCATCAAATGGAAGACATAATAGAATGAAAAGCTACATGGTAACTAAAAAAAATAATACATCCAGGAACAAACTAAACAAGAAATGCATACGGGTGCAAGGCCCGTATGAAGTGGGGTGGGGATAAGAAGACACCAAACAAGCTGACTTTCAAGTTAATATGGGAAAATGAACAATAGCAAAAATAATCTAGAAAATATAAACAACAGTGGTGACAAAAGAAACAACAGGAAGGTGTTTTATAATCCTGGAATGGTAAAAACCTTTCAGACTCTACCAAGAAAACAAAACACAAACACACACCAGTCTTCAAAGAAATAACTGAACTACATTAAAAAAAAAAAATCAAACATGCCTGAATGGCAGAAACCACCATCTCACAGAGCTGTAAGACAAGTGGTATTTTGGGGAAAATATATGTAAGTCAGTATCATAAAGACAAATGGCTAATTTCCATAATACATAAAAGTTCTTATGAACTATATAAATAAAAAATGGGCTAAAATGTACACAGGAAATACAGAAGTCTCTTTAAAAAATGAAGATTTTAGGCCCGGCATGATAGCTCTAGCACTCTAGGAGGCCAAGGCAGGTGGATCCTTTGAGCTCAGCAGTCCAAGACCAGCCTGAGTAAGAGCCCATCTCTACTAAAAACAAAACAGAAAGAAATTAGCAGGACAACTAAAAATATATATGTATAAAAAAAATAGCTGGGGATGGTGGCACATGCCTATAGTCCCAGCTGCTCAGGAGGCTGAAGCAGGAGGATCACTTGAGCCCAGGAGTTTGAGGTTGCTGTGAGCCAGGCTGATGCCACGCACTCTAGCCCAGGTAACACAGTGAGACTGTCTCAAAAAAATTAAGAATTTTGGCCAGGCACAGTGGCTCATGTGCCTATAATCCCAGCTACCCGGGAGGCTGAGGCAGGAGGATCACTTGAGCCTACAAGTTTGAGGTTGCTGTGAGCTATGAGGACATTACTGCATTCTAGCCTAGGCAACAGAGCAAGACCCTATCTAAAAAAAAAAAAAAATTCTCAACCTTAATCTTTTGAGACAGCATTTTTCAGATTTCTATCAGATTAGCAAAGATCCAAATGTTTGATAACATTGTTAGCAAAGCAATGGTGAAAAGGAGTCCTGTTCAGTACAGTTTAGGAGACTTCCTTTTATAGCCTTTTAAACGGTCAATTTTGAGCCATGTAAAATTATTAGCCATTCACAAAATGATATAAACAAGAAATTCCCAACTATAATATGTTCAACTAAAAGAAAAAAAACTGACCAATTAACTCGTTTTATACATAAGTACATAAAACCTCATGTTAGTATAACAACCAATTTACCCTGGTTTGCCTAGGACTTTCCTAGTTTTAAAATTGAAAATCACACATCCCAGGAAATTTTTCAATCCCAGGCAAATTCACACAGTTGGTCACCCTAGAGACTTAAAAATTTAGAGCAAAAATACAAATACTATCCAATCATCCAAATGGGGAGGTCACTGATCCTATGACATACTTTACGCCGTGGCATCACAGAAAGGCACTGCCACTACTAATGAAAAATGCCTCTTATCAAATTTAGTGTTGCTGGAACTTGAATGCTCGCCCATTATCCCAGACACAACAAATACTGGTAAGCTCGGACTTAACACTTAACTGTTCCCAAGATGTTATTATGGTTTTATACAATAAACTGTTAAAAGGGACTCATCTTGTTGTATATGGCAAACATGACAGGCTCTAGATTCAAAAAGACTTAAAGAAATAGAAAATAAACACAAAAATACGATCACAAAGTAGCAAATAACACAGTGTATCTGTTGGTCTTAACATTATTTCTCCTAATGAAGAAAAAACTCTGGTTCTAGTCTCTCTGTAGATAGCTTAATGGAAAGATCAAAATTTGGAGAGAAAAAAATCACAAGAATATGACAGAAGTAAAAACAAGGCTTTCAGAAGCAAAGTAGCCAACTATAAATGTCAGAACTGAATACTTGATCCAGTAAGGGCTGAAAAAAGCCTGGACATAAGGCCGGGCGCGGTGGCTCAAGCCTGTAATCCTAGCACTCTGGGAGGCCGAGGCGGGCGGATTGCTCAAGGTCAAGAGTTCAAAACCAGCCTGAGTGAGACCCCGTCTCTACCATAAAAATAGAAAGAAATTAATTGGCCAACTAATATATATAATATAAAAATCAGCCGGGCATGGTGGCTCGTGCCTGTAGTCCCAGCTACTCGGGAGGCTGAGGCAGGAGGATTGCTTGAGCCCAGGAGTTTGAGGTTGCTGTGAGCTAGGCTGACGCCATGGCACTCACTCTAGCCTAGGCAAGAAAGCGAGACTCTGTCTCAAAAAAAAAAAAAAAAAAGCCTGGACAGAAAACTGGGCAAGGATCAATAGGCACCATATCAGTGTGTATTTTGTTTTGCTGTGAATATCATTCTTGTAAAATACAGTAGATAAAAATATGAAATAAAGTTGAGTTGCAGGGAATAATATAGTGGTTAAGAACATGACTTCTGGATCCAGACGGCTTGAGTTGGAAGCCTAATTCTACACTTAAGACCTGTGCAACTTTGGACAAATTACCATGGGTTAAATAGTGGTATCTGCTTCATAGGGTTGTCAGGAAATTTAATTTACGTAATGTGCTTAGAACAGTGCCTGGCACATTATAAGGACTCAGCAAATGTTAGAAAACAGTAGTACCAGTGAGAATAGCTTTTACTTTATAAAATAATATCGTAAAAAGAATATTAGTTTCTCTCTTTTAATTTAAGTATGCTTATTAGAAGCCAGTTAGACACAGCTCTCTGTATATTGCACTAGTTGGAGCAGTTTACTCTAAGTACTAATAATGTAAGAAGAAATAAATACCCGGAGATTGACTACATGATTGAGAGAAAAAATGCACCAGTTGGGCTCCCTATGCTGATAAATTGCTTAAGCTTTGGAAATAGGCTGAAGTCATGGCACTCTGTGACTTGAACTAAGTGATTCAGCATCTGTGAGTCTCAGTTTCCTCATCTGTCAAACTACTTACGTTATGAAGTTTTTCTGACCATTAAATAAGATCAAGTACATAAGGTACTCACTGATATACCTAGAACCTAGTAGGTACCCTAGGTACCCATTTGTCATTAATGTAATCAGCAAGAGATCCCACCATGCTTACAAACTCCTTCCTCATCCCACAAAGCAAATCCTATTACTTCATCATTAAACCACTATTGTTGCCACAGACTATTAATAGATTACGGCTAGCGGATGCTTCATCACCTCTTTTCTAATCCAGTCTTAAACATAAAGGGCTTATCTAAAATTAAAAGTACAAAATATGGTGCATCAATAATGTACCAAAACAGTAACCTAATTCTTATCTAACTTCACATGATTCCTATTGCTTTCATTAATGAAAAAGTTACGAGGTAGTGACAGGTTTCATCTGACATGCGGCTCTGATTATTGGTGATTCCTAAAATGTGGTGTTAAAAAGGAATTTGAAGTTGTGTGTAGGCTCACCAATACAAAAGACGCTCATTCACCAAGGTGTGTGCCAGGGCAGCAGAAGAAAGAGTGGAAATGGATGCATGAAAGACAGCGCAGAAGAAAAAGAATGATGGGGGGTAGGGGGGCAGGTAAGAGTATGAACATGCACAGACATGTATATGCACATTTTTCTTCCTTAAGTGTTAATGTTGTTTAGATATAATTTTAAGAAATTAACACTGAATGTGTACATGTGTCAGGCACTGTTGTAATTATTTACAATTACAGCCCTACAAAAGCAGCTGCTATTAACACCTTCGTTTTATGGCTAGTGAGTGATGGAGTCAGAATTTGCACCCAAGGATTTTGGCTCCACAGTCAACTCTTTCCAATGAATATGCCACACTGCCTCTTAGAAGAAACTAATGTCACTTCTCAAGTTGGCGAACATTTCTGGAATGCAAGTTTCACTTGAAAAGAAGGCATTCTGATAGACTTAAAACAATTAGTCATATTTTATCTCCATGCATTACCTAAAAACATTGAATTTATAGTGAGATCTCTGCGTTCGGCATCTTTCTGCCAGTCAGTTGTGAATTCTACCTCAGCATGTCTTCCATCAGTGAGGACATCAATCCGTAGTGTTGTAATTTCAAAATTTTCTTCATGAAGCTACAATAGATTTTTTAAAAAACATTAGTTTTTAGCATTGCTGGATAGATCAAAACTAGTTTGTCTTCTTTAAGGCACAGTGCTGTAGGCCCTGACAATTAGCTATGTGTTTCTAAATTCAACTACTATACATAAACATTGAAACAGACTGACACCCACAATATTCAAAGATAGATGCAAAGAATGAATTTTTTAAATACCCATGATGATTGCAAAATATGAGTCTGACATATAAACATGTCAACTCTGCTAAGTGATGTGGTAGCTAGAAAGGAGGAACCCCCACAACTATTCTCATTCTATAATTTCAAATCAGGTTATTCTCTGAAATACTTTTTAACAGCTCCAGTTTTCAAAGAGCTGAATGTCAATTCATAGGATATATACCACTGATCAAAGGATTGATAAAGGAAGTCAGTTAAAAGATCCTCAATTCCTTAACTGGTAATCACCAATGAAGTGTCCAAAGCAACCTCGGTTCATATCCAAGTAACAGCACAAAAAAATAAAAAATAAAATAATAAAGTATTACATACATTTTGGGAAGAGATATCACCTCCCACTGGGAAAGCTGAGTAGCTTCCTCATAGAGTGACATCTGAGCTAAGCCTTGAACAATAAATAGGATCTGTACATGGAATTGTGGTGACAAGAACATTTCAAATGAAGTTTTAAAAGATGACCAAAAGCAATGGATAAAGAGGAAAATATGTAAAAGACAAAGTGTACCTGACAAATAGCATGTTAGCATTTAGAGGTAAAGAGCAAAGGGTTTTACATGCCAAGCAAGAGTTTGGAATCTCTTCCTTAAGAAGTAAAAGCCACTAAGGAGCACTAGAAGTCTGTTCTAGGATTTCTCCAATTTAATACATGTTGTTCTCTAGATACAAGTGTATCTATATCTGTATTCACTACAGAATTCTAGAATTCACTACAGAATTCTAGAATTCTAGAATTCACTACAGAATTCTAGAACTCAGGAATTTTGAGACACAAGTATCTCTGAAGGCAAAGGGTAAGAAAGGGTTTGAAATAGGAAAAATTGTTTGAAAATCATTATAAGAAACAATTAGACCCTCTTCCCCTAGAATGCCTCTCTTAACAGGGCAGAAAGCCAGGGATTAACTCTCTAGAAAGGTTAAACCAAAAGGAATCAGAACTTGGTGCACCAGGCACAGATGATCACAGGAATGAAGCATCACAATGAAAACAAGATTCACTGAGAATCCACATGACCACCATCCCTTTCCCTACTTGGTTCCAAAATGCTAACCACCAGGATTATCCCCTGCATAAAAACACTGGGTTCCTCTCTGATTTCTCCTAAGGAAATCTCCTACTGAGACTGACTCTGGGAGTCCCAACTGGCTGACACTTCCTGCTCAAAATTAAAATAAAGCCCTCAAGTCATTTTGGTAACACTTTAGAACAGGGGTCCTCAAACTTTTTAAACAGGGGGCCAGTTCGCTATCCCTCAGACCCTTGGAGGGCCGGACTATAGTTTAAAAAAAACTGCGAACAAATTCCTATACACAGTGCACGTATCTTATTTTGAAGTAAAAAAACAAACGGGCAAAAACCCCCACATGTGGCCCACGGACCATAGTTTGAGGATGCCTGCTTTTTAGAGCATCACTCAAATATACAGAGAGAGCCAAAAAACAGCTTTATTTAAGGAAAGCCAACAAGAAAGAAAAGCCCAGAGAAAACAAACATTGTCAAAATAACTACAAAATATCCTAAGGGAAAGAAGATATTGCATCTGAAAACAAGAACAGGAAGCTTTCAAAAGAAATATACTAAGAAAGACTTCCTGAAAATGTAAAAGGCCATAAATATATAATAGGTTAGAAAATGTAATATAATAGGTTAGAAAATGAAGTTAAGGCATTTGCATAGAAAATAAAAGACCTGAGAACGAGACAACAAAAGATAAAACTAGAAGATCAGTCCCAGTGGCCTACCAACCAAATAATAGGAGTTTCCAAAGAAAACATTTAACAAACAGGATGAAATCATAAAAGAAACCCAAGAAGGCCCACTAAGTGCCCTGCACAATAAATGAAAATAAATCCAGAGCAAGGCACATTATCTTAAAATTAAGAGATGAAAAGATCAGAACTCAAGATGGTTAAAGAATTAAATGTAAGACCCAAAACCATAACAATTCTACAAGAAAACGTAAGAAAAACTCTTCTATACACTAGCCTAGGCATAAAATTTATAACCAAGACCCCGGTTAACAAATAAACAAATATAGCAACACTAAGAATACATAAATGGGGCTTAATTTAATTAAACAGTTTCTGCACAGGAAGGGAAATAATCAACAGAGTAAACAGACAACTTACAGAATGAGAGAAAATATTCTCAAACTATACATCCAACAATGGACTAATACCTGAAATCTATAAAGAACACAAATAAGCAAGAAACAAACAAATAACCCCATTAAAAAGTGGCAAAAGACATGACCAGAGTATTTTTTTTTTTTATTTTTGACCCGGAGCCACACCCAAGAAGCCTTGAGCAAGTGAACTCCATGACCAGACTAATTCCCAAATATAGACAAATGGTCAACAAATGTATGAAAAAATGGTCATCATCACTAATCATCAGAAAAATGCAAGTTAAAACCACAATGAGATACCACCTTACCCCTATCAAAGAGCCCATTATTAAAAAATTAAAAAACAGTAGGTGTTGATATGAATGCAGTAAAAAAAAAAAAAATGCTTATGCACTGTTGGTGGGAATGCAAACTGGTAAACCTCTAGGAAAACAGTATGGAGATTCCTCAGGGAACTACAAGTAGACCTATCATTTGATCCAGCAATCCCACTAGTGGGTATCTACCCAAAGGAAAAGAAGTAACTATGTCAAAAAGACACCTATACCCGAATGTTCATCACAGCACAATTCACAATTGCAAAGATAGGGAATTGACCTATGTGCCCAACACAAGTAGAAGAAGAAAATGTCACTAGTAGGTCACGAGTAGAAGAAAATGTGGTCCATACGTGCCATGGAGTACTGCTGAGCCAGAAAAGGGAATGAAATCACGTCTCTCGCAGCAACTTGGATGGAAGTGGAGACAATGATCTTAAATATCTCAGGAATGGAAAAACAAATACCACATGGTCTCACTAGTAAGTGGGAGCTAAAGATGGGTCCACATGGGCACAAAGAGATGTAAAGGACATTGGAACCATTAAAGGGGGAGGTTGGGCGGGGGGGGGGGTGGTGCAATGAACACTATTCTGACAACAGGCAACACTAAAAGCTGTGACCTTCAGCATATACAAGAGATCCATATAACAAAAACATTTGTAACCCCTTAATATCTTGAAATTTAAAAAATTAAAATAAAAAAAGACCAGAAAGGCTTCCAAAAGGCTAGCATAATAATCAGGTTTCAAACAAAGGCAGAATCTAAATGGGGTCAGACTTCTCAGGGGCAGGACCGGAAGCTAGAAAACAAAGCCCTTGAGTGAAAACCATTCCCCACCTAGAAACCCATAACCAACAAAACTATCAAACCAGAGTGGAGGTACAATAAAAATATTTTCAGACATATCAGGCTTCTTCAGGTTTTGAAGTATTAAAATGAGGCCATAGAAGAACACCACATGGGATCCAGGAAACAGTAGTTCTGATAAGGAGAGGCCAAGGAAATCCTAAAAGTCCATGTTGGAGCAGGAAGACAGCACCAGGTAAGATGTCTCCAATGAAAAAAGAACGAACTGAAGCTCGATGTGTTTAAATCTTTTGAGAGGAACTTTACAGTTCTGGCACAGAGTACAACAAACAATTAGTGGTACACAGAAAGCTATGGTAAAGAAAAATGCTATTATTACCTGTCGGAAAAACAAAAAACATGCAACAGAAGAAATATAATCATAGCATACTCCACAATCTGGCTGTAAACAATACAAAGTCATAAATGTAAACCCTGAATATTGATTTAACCAAAAATTATGACATAAATATACTAGGAAGACAGCGGAAGGAGTATTATACATGGCTTTTGTTGAGAAAGGTGCAGTATGAAAGCTAAATCATCTTCCCTGGTAGGAGGTCAATAGCTAACATCTTAAAACTGGGAAGTAAAAACAAAAAAAACCGCAGCATACAAAGATCTTTTTAGAAATGGAAAGGTAACAGGTATCCTAAGAATTGGTTAAATGTGGCTGTAACCTCGGAGGCTGCCGGGTTTAAGAGGGTTTAGAGGAGACTCACATTTTTTATTGGGCTTTATATTATTCACTTTTTTAAACTAGAAAAAAAGTATTAAATTTTTAAAAATTACAAAAAAGGCAATGCAATTTAACAAAGTGTAAGCTTTTCACTCACCCTAGCAGTAATCGTCCCGTGCTTTTCTCCTTTGTTGTTTATCATCCGGATCCCAGCAGACTGAAACATCTCCTTCATCTGAGCCGGGGTGGCAGTGGTGGCAAAATCCACATCCTGGGGCTTCACTCCATTTAACAAATCCCTCACTGCACCTCCTGCTATTCTCAATTCATGGTTCTCTTTGACGAATAATTCTGAGAAGAAAGAAAGATGATTTTCATTTCAACGTGTTTCTTTTAAACAGCACAGAAGTGATTCACTAGACTCTTCCATCTAGTGGGACAGGAGAGATCACTTAACTGAGGCTCTTCATATGAAAAATGAGAACAAGGCCCCAAAAAGTGAAATGACTTCCTTATAGCAGACAGCCTGTGAGAACTGTGGGAAGCAGGGAACTTGCAGAATTTGTCTTTGCTTATTTAGGAGATAATTCAGAATTCCACAGTACCTCTAGGTCATCAATATAAATTTGAATTATTACCCATGAGTAAAGCAAATAATTCTGCTTACTTTTTCCCAGTTTATGTGCATACTTTAAAAATGGTGAAGTGTTTTGTACTAAGGCCCGAGAGCCACATGTGGGCCACCTAGTACATTTATCTAGCCCGCCGGGTGTCTTTGCCGCCACTGCCTGTCCTGCTTAACAGCCGACTTGTCCCGGGCCCACAGTGCGCACTCTCCAACAGTCTGAGGGACAGTGAACTGGCCCCCTGTTTAAAAAGTTTGAGGACCCCTGGTCTAGATGCTGAGGCAGTAAGTTCATGTATGAAACTGTGAAACTGTCAGACAACATTGGCCTATCATATCACTTATGATAAATGTTATGGCAAAGAATCCTTCAAGAAATAATCTGCATATGATGTTTAAAACCAACTCACAGCTGTGCTCTTGGTAGAACCATATGAACACTGGAGCTACTGTAACTACACAACTGATTCCCCTACGGATACAGGATAGGACAAAGTCCACCACAACTATACTCATATGACCCAAAGGATATCCCATGGAATCTAGTGAGAATGATGTCCAGGAACTGGCCTGATACTAAGCCTTGGTGTTGCTACAAGTTGTCCTGCTACTCACAGCTAGGTCCTGGTGTCCTGTGGAACATAAATAATTTCACAGAACATCAATACCAGACAAGGCCATCCTGTGACCACGATGGATCAGGACAAAACGAGACCACTCTGTAATCATCTGAACACCAACAAAACATGAACACTAAGACACCCCTGTACTAGTTAATACAGGTGACTGCTCCTTACCAATCAGGTTTAGTCTCACACTTTTCTCACCTTTTCGGTAAGATTTCGGTAAGATTATTAAGATCCCCAATCATAGCATGACTTCTGCTCCCTGAGAGCATCGAATCCACCGCAAAGCCCCCCTGACTTGCACTCTCTCCAGAGCCCGAATGTCAGAAGTCCTTTCTAAAACCCTCTTACTGAGATGCACCGAGGTTCTCCATGGTCAGTGCTCTCCCTCACGGCCAGGAGTAACGACCCAACTTGGTGTGTCCCAGGGTGGTCTCTGGCTGGAGGACAGTGACACGAGCATTCAGCTAAACTCAACACACGCTGGAGCTGCAGCACTGTAACCGCATCTCAGCACGTAATCCTCCACCCCCACCCCAGACCCCTCCCCACGCACCTCTTCTACCGATTCTTCCCAAACCTTCCAGCCCTGCTGCAGACTCCCTAAATGATTTGCTGAAAAATAACAAATGCTGCCTCTCCCTCCACCTTGCCTTAACCAAAAACTGGCTCTCCCACAAGGATTCCACTTCCATAAGCCCTCTGCACAAGGAAGTGTGCACATTCCTTTAATGCCACATTTCCAATCAAGTCCCACTGCCAGTGCCACACCACCCTCCTATCAGCCCAGCCTCCATAATCCAGACAGGGATCTCAAACACCGGGTTAATCATGCCGTGCAACTGCCCCTAACTACTCAGAGTACAACAGCCAAATTCTTCAGTACAACATACAAAGGCGTCTGGGACCTATCTGCATCACACTTCACCTGCACCAAACTCTCCCTGTGTTTCCCTCTGTAACTTCACTTGTGTGAAGAATTTCACTGAAACACCCGCCCAACTCACTGGCCTGTCCAACTTGTAGGGCCATAACCCACTAGGAAGGACATTCACACAGCAGTCACCCATACCTGTGTGTGTATCCATGTGGTAAACTAAAATTTCATGAAATAAAACTTACCCTCTTACTGCACACCATGCAATCTATTATACATTCTATTCTCTCTTTTAAAAAATGCTGGCCATGACCACTAAATTGACATGAACCACTACTGGTCACTAACCAGCTGGGAAAACACCACTCTAGCTCACACGTATTCATTGAGATTATTTAGAAAGCCTCCCCTGAAGGTGAGGTTAAGTGAATTTCTTCTAAGCTACTAGTGTAGCACATCTTTACATATACTAATTATGTTAAAATTACTGATTATGTCTTTGTCTCCCCACTTCTCAGGGTAGAAACCCTATCTTATTCATCTTTGTACCAACATGGCTCACAATGGAACAGAATTATGATATTCTAGCTAGTAAAAAAAAAGAATGGCTTCCCTGGGATTTTTCTTTAAGTTTTCTTCCTTAAAATTAAAACAGTATCTAAGAAACTGCTTTGGAAAGCAAATAAAGGGCAACTTTTATATTCTTTTGAACCTACTTTGAAGAATGGGATAAGGTCAAAGTCAAATTTACAAAGATAACCACTGTTTTAAGATTCTCATACTAGCTTTACTAAATAAAATTTTAAGTTCAAAGTCACTTAATAAATGGATTGCATTACAGAAAAAGAGATCACGACTTAAATTTATTCACCATTTTGATTAGCTCTAGTTATTAAACCATTTACAAAATACTCACAATTCAGGACATTTAAAATAACATTTTAATACAATTGAGAAAGGCACATAAAGACATTTATGTCTGTGTGAAATAGGAGTCATAAAAATTATATAAAAGGCATGAATTTATATTGGCCTAAAACAGTAGGGACTATCAAGCGTAAAGACTCCTTTATTCCTCAGTTACTGATACCTTCAATCTTACAAGAACAGGGATACATTCAACATGCCAAAAGACTTTATAAGTTACACACATATCCAGTAAAAGTAACACCTAACGCAGCTAAATTTCATTATAAATTTAAACCTGATATTCAGAAACGCAGAATCTCATCATTCCAGAACTATGTTAATTTGCTCTGCTACACGATGGTAAGCTAGTATTCATTATTCTTGTTTGCAATCCAAAAGACCACACATTGATGTGTCCGAAACTTTTATAATTGTCACCTTCCTAATGCTAATTTGCAATTAAATTTTCACAAACTTATTCCCTTTACAATTTTGAAGTTTGAGGACTGGGGGCTAGGGTGGGGGCTGGTGAAGGTGAGCGAGAAGTACGGGTGGGAAGATCATTGCCACAGGAAAACAATCTCTTTGAAAAGCATCCAACCTTCAAGAGTGATCAGTTGTTCCCACTGTCCCAAATGTTAATACGACTTTCTGACATCACATCAGGTACACAGCAAGGGATTCCGGGGCTCCTAGGGACGAGTGTGGGTGCTGTTGCCTTGGGGCAACTGCCCCACCTAGGAAGGACAAGGCTGGGGCCCCAGGCTCCCCTACCTTGGTCCTGCTCCACCCTAATCCTTCCCGAGCGACTGCCATACCTGGGAGAGGAGGGAATACCCTATGAATCTGCCAATCATAACTTAGTGCACCAGCTGCAAAAGAATGCACAGGACACTCTAGCCCACAGGCCAAGACCATAGAGTCCAGAAACTGACCTAGAACAACCCGCATTTGTAGTCATGCAACTCCCAACTGTCCAATGAAAGTGGTTCCATGGTGACGTCTGAGCCACCCTGGCGGCCCCAATCTGGGCACTATATAACAAGTCACGGACCATAACCAAACTCATTGCCCTTCCTTTGGCTCTCCCTTTGCTGCTGGGTCTGGTCGTCATCTGTGGCATATGTATCATGCTCTGTAAACTTGTACTTTACTCTCGTTCTACAATCCTATCTTTCTCTCCTCCATAAACCTCATTTTCATGCTTGCCTTACTTTGGTGTGTGTGGTCATTCTTCAACCCTGAGCACACCAAGATTGAGAACCAACATTTCAGACTAAAACCTAACAATACCACTGAGCACTGTCACCCAGCAGTGACCATGGGCCACAACCAAGTTAACTAAAGAAGTCCTTGCTTGTTCACTAATCATGTAACTCAGGCAAAAATCCCTTATATTTGGCATTTCAACCTCATCTCTGGAACAGGGAAATAATCTTATGCACCACTAGCAGTATATGGTTGTACTGAAGCAAAAACAAAAATAAAATATGTGAAATAACCTGACAAATTATAAAACTGTATTATATGACCATAGCCTCCCAAGTTCTTGCATACTAATTCTACATACTACATGTAGTATACCACATACTACATACAAATTCTACACATCACAAAGCAGATATTAAGATTTGAGAACTGGTACCAGTAAGATCTAAACTGTATGTATCACCATATGGCAGCCATCACAAAGGCTTTTTGTGTTTTTGTGCATTTTGTTTTTATACAGAACTTTACCGGGGCACCCAAGTCTTTGATTTTCTAACTGTTGAGCAATGCACTTAAAGATTCTATTGTTGCCACTTCTACCATAACCTAGAAAAAGTCAACTTTAGATATGTCCATGCTCTCCTGTGCCAGTCTTTCAAGGACAGGACCCGGAAACAACCACCATTTCTATCTTACCATACCACTGAGACTCTAACTTCCTCAGGACTTCATTTCTCAGGTTAGAGAAAATTCAGCTCTTAAAGTCAGGTTTAGAAAGTTAAACACAACCGTTAAAAGATTTTCAAAAAACTACAGTAATCATCATCTAGACCAGGCATGGTGGCTCACACCAGTAATTCCAGCACTTTGGGAGGCCAAGTTGGGAGGATCACTTGAGGCCAGGAGTTCAAGACCAGCCTGAACAACACAACCTGACCCCATCCTTATAAAAACTAAAATTAGCCAGGTGCAGTAGAGACACCTGCCCTCCCAGCTACTTAGGAGGCTGAGGCAGGAGGATCGCTTGAGCCCAGGAATTAGAGGCTGCAGTGAGCTGTGATCGCATCACCACTCTCCAGCCTAGGCAACAGAGCAAGACCCTGTCTATTTAAAAAAAAAAATCCAACACCCTGTTTCCAAAAAAAAAAAAAAAAATGCAGAATGAGCTCAAATAAGCCACTGAGAGCTACTGAATCTTTCTTCCAAGAGGCCTCTACAATTGAGAATGAGAAGACTGGGGGCTAGGAAGGGCATATAGAGAAAGACAAAAGCTCAAATTCAACCCAGATTTAGAGCTTCTAGATTTGCCTTGTTCAAACAGTAGTCACTAGCCAATCATGGTTATTGAACACTAGAAATGTGGTGAGTCTGAAATGAGATGTGCTGCACGTGTTAAACACGTGCTAGATTCCAAAGACATAGAAGAATATACCTCAATAATTTACATGTTTCATACTGAAATATTATCTTAGATACATTAAGTAAAATGTACTAAAATAATTATTAAAATTAATTTTACCCATTTCTTTTTACCTTCAATGTTGTTTGTAGGAAAGTTTGTATTACATACAGGCACCTATATTTTTCACTGTCCTATTAAAAATCAGTGAGGCATCAGCATAAACTGGCATTTCAGCACTCTGCTTCAAGACCAACTGAAAAAACTAAACTAATCAACACATTCTGGGATATTTACCACTCCGAAAACTTTTATAATTGTCACCTTCCTAATGTTAATTTGCAATTAAATTTTCACAAACTTATTCCCTTTACAATTTTGAAGTTTGAGGACTGGGGGCTAGGGTGGGGGCTGGTGAAGGTGAGCGAGAAGTACGGGTGGGAAGATCATTGCCACAGGAAAACAATTTCTTCGAAGAGCATCCAACCTTCAAGAGTGATCAGTTGATCCCACTGTCCCAAATGTTAATACTACTTTCTGACATCACATCAGGTAGACAGCAAGGGAAAAAGCCATCACCTAATTTCAAGAACGGGAAAGTAGCTTCATGAATAAGCTAACACAAGGAAAGTAATTTTACAGCAACGATACCTCTGCCTTCTGTGCATAAGAATTCATCTGTGGAGTTTTTATATATATATATATAAAAAATATATATATATATATAAATACACACACACACACACGTAGATGCTCATCCCTCTCAGTTCAGTAGGCTGGGGGCAGAATCCCCGCACCTGTATGTTTTGAAAGCTCCTCAGGTGAATCTAAGGACCAGCCAGGGCTGCAAAGCACCGTTTAGGTCATATTTCTACATAGATACCGTAGCCTAATATATTTCTGAAGTGCTACTAAAATGCCCACAGGCTCTGAAATGCAGCTGTGTGGCTGCTTCAGTGACATCAGTAGCTGACATTAAGGACCAACACTGATAAAACCATGGCAGCAGCAAGAAGCAAACCCACTTCCAGTGTTCCTTCCAGGTAAGTTTTGCATGCGCACATGGAGCTAACTCCTATTTCCCTGCTGCCTTCAGTTCTCTCCGAAAGCGCTTATGCCAAGGCAGGAAATGGAGCTTAGTGCTTACAGGTGGGCTCGGAAATCAGACTGCAGAGGTCTAAGACCCAGCTATCTAGTTATCTGTGGCAGAAACACAGGCAAAGCACTTGACATTCCTAAGCACCTGTTTCCTCCTCCCTGTAACAAGGGAAATTGTACCTACTCATTAGGTTAATAGGACCAATCCTGCAATGTAAGGAAACTACTTCTTGGCATAGTATTCAGAAAAGTCCAGCTTTTTGTTGCAGTCAACTTCTTGCCTCCTCTAGTGACTTGGCTGTAGTTTTGGAATACCTGTAAGTAAACCTTTCTTCTATTACCTCGACAACATCAAAAATACCTGAATGTTAGCTTAAAAAAATGTAAACCCTGTGATTCTCTATTCACACAGGCTTCCCAAATCAAGAAAAGGCATCCTAATCTCTCACCGGTCAGACTCTTCAATCCTTCCGTGAAAAGTGACTGGAATTCCGGGGACTGCAACTTCATTGTAAACAGGTACCGCTTCAGAAGGCTCAGCCTACTCCAACTGCAGCTGGGTACCGGCCTGTGCCAAGGATACAGGTGCCTCAGCATCTGGTGGGAAAGTCACCGACCACGCATCTGCAAGTCAAACACGCACACACACAATGAAATTTACGAGTGAGGAAAGTAAAGGGACACCTCACCAACTTTATTTATCAACTGAGAAAAGCTCATCTCTTGTTCAGATGAAAAAGGTGACAACTTGCGGGACAGTCCCTGAATTCATGCTTGCAGCCACCTGGTTTTGTACTCCGGAAGCACATACTGCTATGCTCCCATACCACCCTTCTGTCGTCGCTGTAACACTCCCCCGAGGGGCGGGCTTCAGGTGAAGCGTGAGGTTCCAGAAACTGCATCTGGAAGACCTGCGGCCAGACGTGGCTCCCCCAGAACCGTCGCGGTCACAGGTGGATGGGTTATCGGCCTACTTCCCCACTGGTACCCCAAACTGACGACTCAGGGACGTTTCCTAGGAATTGTAAAATAGCTCTGCCCAGGACGTGGCCTCCCCGTCCCCTGCGTGCTCGCCCCGCGGCTCTCCCCCCACCGGGTGGCCAGCAGGGACCCCCACGCGTACCTCACCGGACAAGGCCCCTCCGCCCCCGGGGGAGCAGGTCTGAGGAGCGGCGCTGCCCCCCGGCCACGTGCGGAGGACAGAGGCGAGGCCGCTCGGCCCCAACTCTGAAAAGCCCGCGGGGACCCGGCCCGGACAAGCGCGCCCGGCCCGCGCCAGGTGAGGAAGGCCCGGGGAGCGGGCCGCGGGGAAGTCCCGGCCGGCAGGGAAAGGCGAACACGACCTCCACGTCGGCGCCCTTCTGCCCAGGACGCCTCCGGCCGCACCCGGCTCTCGCCTTCCTCCGGGACGGCGGCCGGCGGGCCCCTCAGCCCCTCACGGCGGCCCTCCCCTCAGCGCGCGCCCCGCTCACCGTCCCCGCCGCCGTACAGCCGCATGCACTTCCGGGACGCGGGCGCGTTGACGTCACCGGCGCACGTGGGTCGGCGGCGAATGGGCAGTCATGACTGGACGTGGGCGGGGCCTGGGTGGCTTCTCCCCGCCCCTTCCGCCTTCCCAGGGCACTCCGGGGCTGTGGGCTGGTGTGTGGGGCCTGGCGTAGGGCTGCAGGAGGGTCCCGCTCCCAGGCTTGATGGGTGGGCGGTGGGGAGCCCCGGCCTATTCACTTCTTTCATTTACCGTGTCTCCCCGAAAATAAGCCCTCCCCACAAAACAAGCCCTAGCAGGATGTCTAAGCATGTGCGCAATAGAAGCCCCACCCCGAAAATCAGCCCTAGTGACGGCGTGGCTGCGCAGCGTCTGCACAACCCGTGCCTGTCGTGGCGGAGCGGGAAAGAACACGAGCAGCCCTTCTCATCCCCCCGTGACAGCTCTAGTGCTCCACAGGAGAGATGGGGCCTATGGTTCCAAAGGAAACAGAGTCCCAAGACATTCAGGATGGCATTCGGGGTTTGGAGAGTGAGGATGATGTTCCAGAAGAAGACGACTTCACTCTATTTGAATCAATGTAGGTTGTTTTACTGTACTTAAAAAAAAATAACACATTGCTGAAAATAAGCCCTAGGGTGTGTTCTTGAGGAAAAATATAAGACCCTGTCTTATTTTCGGGGAAACACGGTATGTGCCTCCCAGCGCACCTGTCAGTTGCTCCGAGGTGCTCAGACGCCCATGTGCACTGCATACCTGTGTGACCTTGGACAATTGACCACTGCCTGCCTTTGTAAAATGCGACTTTTAATAAAACCTATCTCTGGGTGTTGCCAAGCTTAAATGTCGCGTTACTCCCTGGCACCGACGAAGTATTGGATAAATGCTAACTTGTTATTCTTGCCTGTTCCCCAGTTGGCACGCGGCTCATGTTACTACTCTACCCTAATCTCTGCATAGAATTAAGTCCACAGTTGCCAGCATCATCAGAACCTAGGCAGTGTGTTCAAAACACACATATTCCCTAAATCTAAGCCTTTCCAATCTGCTGGAATTACTGGGCCTATTTTATTTTCCTACCCGGTTTGTGTAACCTCTGGCTCCCTAGTCTGGAAGCTTCGCAGCTGTAAAGTGGAGAACGTGGATTTGATTCAGTTCATTAATTTTTTTCTAGGGCAAAGAAGAGTGAAGACAGTGGCAAAGGAAGGGGAGTACAGCTGTAAAACCCTTAAAATGGGGAAACATGTAGTCTTTTCAGCATAACCTCCCTTAAAATTTTCCTGGAAAAAAATGCATGAGCCATGGTATTTTGGTGGTTTCCAATTACCAGGCCTCATATCTTCACGGGTGCTAAGACTACCTCTTCGGAGTTGACATTCAGAGAGAGCTACCGCATTGATTCAGTCAATGCCTGTACAGAACAAGGAAAGCCCAAATCATTTTCACTCTTGCTCCCATTTCTCTCCACCATGACTCTAGACAAACCGGCCCATAGCCTTCATTGCTGTCCCCACTTAGATTAGCATTCTCCAAAGTACCACTTATTGAAGGCAACACTAATTAAATTATAACAGCTATTATAATAACTTACTTTTTGCCAGTTACTCTGCTGGGCACTCTCAAAGAGCCAACTTTTGGCCTTGTCAATATGTAGTTTATATATACATATATATAGATACAGATATATACAGTCATTCCTCAGTATCCATGGAGGATTATTTCCAGAAAACCTCCCCTCCAACCCCGCAGATAACAAAAATCCCACAAGTCTCAAGTCCTTTATATAAAATGGCATAGTATTTGTAAATAACCTACATACATACTCCTGTACATTTCATTTTTTTAAGTGAACACAATTAGCATCTCCTGTATGCTTTAAATCATCTCTAGATTACTCGTAATACTTGATGCAATGCAAATGCTATGTAAATATTTGTTATACTATATTACTTTTTAATTTGTATTTTTATTGTTGTACTGTTTTTTATTTTTTTTGTTTGTTTGTTTTTTGGAATATTTTTGCCCTGCAGTTGGTTGAATCTGCTGATGCAGAATCCATAGATACAGAAGGCCAACTGATGAGAGAGAGAATTCCTAACTATATTGACCAAGGAAATAAAATGAAAAAAGGTATATCTGTATAGATCATCATAAGGAGATATTTGTATAATTTTATGATAGTCAAATTGAAAATGTAGATGAAATGGTCAAATTATATGAAAAAAATTATCAGAACTGAAATAAGATAAAATTTAAAATCTGATTAGCCCTTTATTTGTAAAGAAATTAAATTTTGTTCAACAAACTTCCCAGAAAGCTAATTCCAGGCCCAGATGATTTCAGTAATCAAATTTATCAGACTTATAAGGAAGAAATAATGCCAGTCTTGCACAAAATTTGTCTGGAAAATAAAGGAGGAATAATCCTAATAATAATCCCAATAATCCAGCATAATAATCTAGCGTAATCCTAATAATCTTTGAAATAAATATTGCCAAAAATTTACAGATTAATATCCAACATGAACATAGAAACAAAACAGTTTGATAAAATATTAGCAGACTGAATCCAACCATATGTAGAAAAATAATACATCGTGATCAACTTGTGTTTATCCCAAATGCAAGGAATTCAAGGTAGATTTGATGTTCAAAAACCAATCAATGTAGGCTGGCGCTGTGGCTCACGCCTGTAATTCCAGCACTTTGGGAGGCTGAGGCGGGAGGGTCCGCTCAAGGTTAGGAGTTCGAAACCAGCCTGAGCAAGAGCGAGACCCCGTTAGCTGGCATGGTGGCACCTGCCTGTAGTCCCAGCTACTAGGGAGGCTGAGGCAGGAGGATCACCTGAGCCCAGGAGTTTGAGGTTGCTGTGAGCTAGGCTGACGCCATGGCAGTCTAGACCGGGCAACAGAGTGAGACTCTGTCTCAAAAAAGGAAGAAGGAAGGAAGGAAGAGGAAGGGAGGAAGGGAGGAAAGGGAGGAAGGGAGGAAGGAGGAAGGGAGGAAGGAGGAAGGGAGAAAGAGAGAGAGAGAGAGAGAGAGAGAGAGAGAGAGAGAGAGAGAGAGAAAGAAAGACAGACCAATCAATGTAATTCACCATATTAACAGACTAAAAAAGTGAAGCTATTTGATCACCCCAATAGACACAGAAAGAACACTTAAAATTCAACAGCTATTTATTATAAAAACTACCAGAAAATTAAAATTTAGAAGGGACTTCCTCAATATGGTAAAGGGCATCTATGAAAAATCTACAGCTAATATCAGACTTGATAGTAAAATATTTAATACTTTTTCCCCTAATATCAGGGACAAGACAAGGGTGCCCAGTTTCACCTCTTCTGTTCAGCATCTGCTTGTAGCTCACAACCATTAACATAAAGCAAGAACAAAATAAAAGTATAACAATTGGAAACAGAGTAAAATTGCCACTGTTTTCAGATGACATGATGGTTTACATGGAAATCATAGGAATCAACAAAACAACCACTACAACTAATAAGGGAATTAAGTGAGGTCTTGGGATACCAGATTAAAATATGAAAAGTAATCTATTTAATATATTAGCAGCAAAAATATAGAATGTAAAAATATATATCTATCAAACATGTAGACATAGGTATAACAAGAGAAGTTGTACTGTTGGCACCCAAGCATATATAAAGATACTGAAAGGGTGAATGACCCAAAGGACAGATTTCACACATAGGCCGTGTGAGAGCAACACAGCTGGTTTATTCACCAGGGTGCGAGTGGGCTCAGCTCGAAAAGAGAGTCAGCACAGAAGGTGGTTTGGTGAGAGTTTTTATAAATGGGGATAGCTGACCCCCTCCTCCCATCTGCTCTATTCAGTTCTTTGTTTCTGGGCCAAACTGGCAGGTGAAGAATTGCTTCCTGCTACGTGCAGTTCCATGTATGGCACAGGGCGGTAGGCAGAACAGCTGTCTGTAGTAAATTCTTCTTCAACCAACCAACGCCTGCGACCCCTTCTGCTCTGGCATCGTCCTTATCAGGAGACCTAGGGAGGGGTGGGCTTTATCTCCATCAGGGAGGGAGGGGGAAGGGGGAAGGAATGCTGGCTGCAGCTTTCTGTTAGATCTACAAAGTCCAGGGACTCCCCGGACTCCTGCGGCTGTCATTTTACAAGCCTAAGTTTTGCATTAACCACATTCTGTCCTGTACACACTTTTCGGGTTCCCACCTGGAAAAAACCTAACATATTAAACATCATCGATCACCAGGGAAAAACAAATTAAAACCACAATGAGCTATCAGTACACACCTGTTACAGGATAACTAAAATGGAAACATCTGCCAATAATACCAAGAGCAGATGAGGATGTAGAGCAACTGGAGCTCTCACGCCCTGTTGGTGGGGATACAATCTAGCATAGCCACGGCCAATGGAAAAGAAACCAAACTCCGTAAAATAATTTTAAAGAGATTTGTTCTGAGCCACATTTGAGGACCATGACCTGGAGCCACACCCAAGAAGCCTTGAGCAAGTGGACTCACTGTGGTTGGGTTGCAGTTTGGTTTCATACATTTCAGGGAGACAGGGGTTGCAGGTAAAGTCATAAATCAAGACATGAAAAGATTACATTGGTTTAGCCTGAAAAGGTGGGCCGTCTCAAAGGGGGAGAGGGGCTTACAGGTTATAGGTGGGTTTAAAGATTCTTTGACTTACAATTGGTTTAAGACATGAAGCTTTATCTAAAGGATTAGGATGTTTAAAATAAGGAGGTCTGTTAATCAGAGACAAGCCACCACAGGACATAGATTTGTTGTGCAAATTGAGGACCTGCAGGTTTGCCTTGCTTAAACTTGGGCCTGTTAATGGGTTACAAAGGATGTCCCCAAGAAGGGAGGAGGGCATGATAAGGCATGTCTGACCTCCTTCCTCCTGCAGGCAATTTAGTTTTAGGATATCCCCTTGTCCAGGAAGGGGATCCATTCAGTCAGCTGGTGGGAGGGAGCCTTAATATTTTATTTTAGTTCACACTGCTTTAGAAAACAGTTTAAGTTACACTTAAACCTTAAGACCCAGCAATCCTACTCCTAGATATTTATCTTAGAGAAATGAAAACTTTTGTTCATTCCAAAAAGTGTATGTGAATGGCTGTAGTCACTTTACTCATAATTAACCCAAACTGGAAGAAACCCAAATTTCCTTCCACAGATGAGTGGATAAGCCAACTGGAGTATATCCATGCAATGAAATACTACTTAGCCATATAAAAGAACAAACTGCTGATATGCACAACAACGTGTATCAGTTGTTTCTTCACTCTCAAGAAAGCCAGGTTCAAGGGGATACATACGATTCTATTTATATGACATACAGTAAAGGCAAAACCATGGAGACAAAACAGGTTGGTTGACAGCTGACCTGTTTTGTCTCTAGGGACCGGAGATGGGAGAAGAGGTTTTCTATAAAAGGGCATAAGGGAATTTGGGGTGGAGGGAGGTGACAGAATTGTTTTATAACTTGCTTATAGTGGTGATTACACAACTATGTGTGTTTGCCAAAATGCATAGAACTGTACACTAAAAAGGGAAAAACTTCCTTGTTTGTAAATCA